GTCACTCTGTGTGTGTATCACTCTGTGTGTGTCTGTGTGTGTGTGTGTCTCACTGTGTCTGTGTGTGTCTGTGTGTGTGTCACTCTGTGTGTGTGGAACTACGTCCACTGCATGTACGGGATCCGGTGAGTGGTGCTGGTGAGCGGTGAGTGGTGGTGAGTGGTGGTGAGTGGTGGTGTGTCTGTGTGTCTGTGTGTGTGTCTCACTGTGTGTGTGTCTCACTCTGTGTGTGTCTCACTGTGTGTGTGTCTCACTCTGTGTGTGTCTCACTCTGTGTGTGTGTCTGTGTGTGTGTCTGTGTGTGTATCACTCTGTGTGTGTGTGTCTGTGTCTGTGTCTCACTCTGTGTGTGTGTCTGTGTGTGTGTCTGTGTGTGTGACTCTGTGTGAGTCTGTGTGTTTGACTGTGTGTGTCTGTGTGTGTGTGTGTCTGTGTGACTGTGTGTGTCTCTGTGTGTGTGTCTGTGTCTCTGTGTGTGACTGTGTGTGTCTGTGTGTGTGACTCTGTGTGTGTCTGTGTGTGTGACTCTGTGTGTGTCTGTGTGACTGTGTGACTGTGTGTGTCTCTGTGTGTGACTGTGTGTGTCTGTGTGTGTGTGTGACTGTGTGTGAATGTGTGTGTCTCTGTGTGAGTCTGTGTGTTTGACTCTGTGTCTGTGTGTCTGACTGTGTGTGTCTGTGTGTGTGTGTCTGTGTGACTGTGTGTGTCTCTGTGTGTGTGTCTGTGTCTCTGTGTGTGACTGTGTGTGTCTGTGTGTGTGACTCTGTGTGTGTGTGTGTGTGACTCTGTGTGTGTCTGTGTGTGTGTGACTGTGACTGTCTGTGTCTCTGTGTGTGACTGTGTGTGTCTGTGTGTGTGACTCTGTGTGAGTCTGTGTGTTTGACTCTGTGTCTGTGTGTCTGACTGTGTGTGTCTGTGTGTGTCTGTGTGTGTGTGTCTGTGTGTGTCTCTGTGTGTGTGTCTGTGTCTCTGTGTGACTGTGTGTGTCTGTGTGTGTGTGACTGTGTATGTCTGTGTGTGTGTCTCTGTGTGTGTGTGTATGTGTCTGTGTGTGTGTCTCTGTGTATGTGTCTCTGTGTGTGACTGCGTGTCTCTGTGTGTGACTGTGTGTGTGTCTCTGTGTGTGTCTGTGTGTGTCTGTGTGTGTGTGTCTGTGTGACTGTGTGTGTCTCTGTGTGTGTGTCTGTGTCTCTGTGTGTGACTGTGTATTGTGTCTCTGTGTGTGTCTGTGTGTGTGTGTCTGTGTGACTGTGTGTGTCTCTGTGTGTCTCTCTGTGTGTGACTGTGTGTGTCTGTGTGTGTGACTCTGTGTGTGTCTGTGTGTGTGACTCTGTGTGTGTCTGTGTGTGTGTGACTGTGTGACTGTGTGTGTCTCTGTGTGTGACTGTGTGTGTCTGTGTGTGTGACTCTGTGTGAGTCTGTGTGTTTGACTCTGTGTCTGTGTGTCTGACTGTGTGTGTCTGTGTGTGTCTGTGTGTGTCTGTGTGTGTCTCTGTGTGTGTGTCTGTGTCTCTGTGTGTGACTGTGTGTCTGTGTGTGTGACTCTGTGTGTGTCTGTGTGTGTGTCTCTGTGTGTGTGTCTGACTGTATGTGTGTCTGACTGTGTGTGTCTGTGTGTGTGTCTCTGTGTGTGTGTATGTGTCTGTGTGTGTGTGTCTCTGTGTATGTGTCTCTGTGTGTGACTGCGTGTCTCTGTGTGTGACTGTGTGTGTGTGACTCTGTGTGTATGTGACTGTGTGTGTCTCTGTGTGTGACTGTGTGTGTGACTGTGTCTGTGTGTGACTGTGTGTGTGTCTCTGTGTGTGTCTGTGTGTGTCTGTGTGTGACTGTGTGACTGTGTATGTGTGTGTGACTGTGTGTGAATGTGTGTGTCTCTGTGTGTGTCTGTGTGTGACTCTGTGTGTATCTGACTGTGTGTGTCTCTGTGTCTGTGTGTGTCTGTGAGTGAGTCTCTGTGTGACTGTGTGTGTCTATGTGTATCTGACTGTGTGTGTCTTTCTGTGTGTGTGTGTCTGTGTGTGTGTGACTGTGTGTGTCTCTCTTTGTGTGTCTGTGTGTCTCTGTGTGACTGTGTGTGTGTGTCTGTGTGTATCTGTCTGTGTGTGTCTCTGTGTGTGTGTGACTGTGTGTGACTGTGTGACTGTGTGTGTGTGTGACTGTGTGTGACTGTGTGTCTGTGTGTGACTGTGTGTGTCTCTGTGTATCTAACTGTGTGTGTCTCTCTGTGTGTGTGTGTCTGTGTGTGTGTGTGTGTCTGTGTGTCTGTGTGACTGTGTGTGTATCTGACTGTGTGTGTCTCTGTGTGTGTGTGTCTCTGTATGACTGTCTCTGTGTGCGTGTGATTGTGTCTGTGTGTGACTGTGTCTGTGTGTGTGTCTCTGTGTGACTGTGTCTGTGTGTGTGTCTCTGTGTGACTGTGTGTGTGTGTGACTGTGTGTATCTGACTGTGTGTGTGTCTCACTCTGTGTGTGTGTCTCACTCTGTGTGTGTCTCTGACTCTGTGTGTGTCTCACTGTGTGTGTGTCTGTGTGTGTCTGTGTGTATCTGACTGTGTCTCTCTGACTGTGTGTCTCTGTGTCTGTGTGTGTGTGTGTCTGTAGCTATGATGACTACGATTATGGCGAGGTGGATCAACTGCTGGATGACCACGTTCGTGACTTCATCAAAACGTCGGTCTGCTTTCCAGAGCGAATCACCGCAGACCTGCATGAAGCCTTCTGGCCCCAATTCCTCCCGTCGGAGAAGGTGTGCTGGGTAGTGTAGTGGGTAGTGTAGTGGGTAGTGTAGTGGGTAGTGTAGTGGGTAGTGTAGTGGGTAGTGTAGTGGGTAGTGTAGTGTAGTGGGTAGTGTGGTGGGTGGTGTAGTGGGTAGTGTAGTGTAGTGGGTAGTGTGGTGGGTGGTGTAGTGGGTAGTGTGCTGGGTAGTGTAGTGGGTAGTGTAGTGGGTAGTGTAGTGTGTAGTGGGTAGTGTAGTGGGTAGTGTAATGTAGTGGGTAGTGTAGTGGGTAGTGTAGTGGGTAGTGTAGTGTGTAGTGTGGTGTGTAGTGTAGTGGGTAGTGTAGTGTAGTGGGTGGTGTAGTGGGTAGTGTAGTGTAGTGGGTAGTGTAGTGTGTAGTGTAGTGGGTAGTGTAGTGTAGTGGGTAGTGTAGTGGGTAGTGTAGTGTAGTGGGTAGTGTAGTGGGTAGTGTAGTGTGTAGTGTGGTGGGCAGTGTAGTGTAGTGTGTTGTGTAGTGTAGTGTGTAGTGTAGTGGGTAGTGTAGTGTAGTGGGTACTGTAGTGTAGTGGATAGTGTAGTGGGTAGTGTGTAGTGTGGTGGGTAGTGTAGTGGGTAGTGTAGTGGGTAGTGTAGTGTGTAGTGTAGTGGGTAGTGTAGTGTAGTGGGTAGTGTAGTGTAGTGTGTAGTGTAGTGTGTAGTGTAGTGTAGTGGGTAGTGTAGTGGGTAGTGTAGTGGGTAGTGTAGTGTAGTGGGTAGTGTAGTGTAGTGGGTAGTGTAGTGTAGTGGGTAGTGTAGTGTGGTGTAGTGTGTAGTGTAGTGGGTAGTGTAGTGGGTAGTGTAGTGTAGTGGGTAGTGTAGTGGGTAGTGTGGTGGGTAGTGTAGTGGGTAGTGTGGTGGGTAGTGTAGTGGGTAGTGTAGTGGGTAGTGTAGTGTAGTGGGTAGTGTAGTGTGTAGTGTAGTGGGTAGTGTAGTGTATAGTGTAGTGTGTAGTGTAGTGTGTAGTGTAGTGGGTGGTGTAGTGGGTAGTGTAGTGTAGTGGGTAGTGTAGTGTAGTGTGTAGTGTAGTGTAGTGGGTAGTGTAGTGTAGTGGGTAGTGTAGTGTGTAGTGTAGTGGGTGGTGTAGTGTGGTGTGTAGTGTAGCGGGTAGTGTAGTGGGTAGTGTAGTGGGTAGTGTAGTGTGTAGTGTAGTGTGTAGTGTAGTGGGTAGTGTGGTGTAGTGGGTAGTGTAGTGTAGTGGGTAGTGTAGTGTAGTGGGTAGTGTAGTGTGGTGTAGTGTGTAGTGTAGTGGGTAGTGTAGTGTAGTGGGTAGTGTAGTGGGTAGTGTAGTGGGTAGTGTAGTGGGTAGTGTAGTGGGTAGTGTAGTGTGTAGTGTAGTGGGTAGTGTAGTGGGTAGTGTAGTGGGTAGTGTAGTGTAGTGGGTAGTGTAGTGTAGTGGGTAGTGTAGTGTAGTGGGGTAGTGTAGTGGGTAGTGTAGTGGGTAGTGTAGTGTAGTGTGTAGTGTAGTGTGTAGTGTAGTGTAGTGGGTAGTGTAGTGTGTAGTGTAGTGGGTAGTGTAGTGGGTAGTGTAGTGGGTAGTGTAGTGTGTAGTGTAGTGGGTAGTGTAGTGGGTAGTGTAGTGGGTAGTGTAGTGTGGTGGGTAGTGTAGTGTAGTGTGTAGTGTAGTGTGTAGTGTAGTGGGTAGTGTAGTGTAGTGGGTAGTGTAGTGTAGTGTGTAGTGTAGTGGGTAGTGTAGTGTGGTGTGTAGTGTAGTGTGTAGTGTAGTGGGTAGTGTAGTGGGTAGTGTAGTGGGTAGTGTAGTGTGTAGTGTAGTGGGTAGTGTAGTGGGTAGTGTAGTGTAGTGGGTAGTGTAGTGGGTAGTGTAGTGTAGTGGGTAGTGTAGTGGGTAGTGTATTGGGTAGTGTGTAGTGTAGTGTAGTGGGTGGTGTAGTGGGTAGTGTAGTGTGTAGTGTAGTGTGTAGTGTAGTGGGTAGTGTAGTGGGTAGTGTAGTGTATAGTGTAGTGGGTAGTGTAGTGTATAGTGTAGTGGGTAGTGTAGTGTATAGTGTAGTGTATAGTGTAGTGGGTAGTGTATAGTGTAGTGGGTAGTGTAGTGTATAGTGTAGTGTAGTGGGTAGTGTGGTGTAGTGTGTAGTGTAGTGTAGTGGGTAGTGTAGTGGGTAGTGTAGTGTAGTGTGTAGTGTAGTGTAGTGGGTAGTGTAGTGTAGTGTGTAGTGTAGTGTAGTGGGTGGTGTAGTGTAGTGGGTAGTGTAGTGGGTAGTGTAGTGTAGTGTGTAGTGTAGTGGGTAGTGTAGTGTAGTGGGTAGTGTAGTGTGTAGTGTAGTGGGTAGTGTAGTGGGTGGTGTAGTGGGTAGTGTAGTGTAGTGTGTAGTGTAGTGGGTAGTGTAGTGGGTAGTGTAGTGGGTAGTGTGTAGTGTAGTGTAGTGGGTAGTGTAGTGGGTAGTGTAGTGTAGTGGGTAGTGTAGTGTAGTGGGTAGTGTAGTGGGTAGTGTAGTGTAGTGGGTAGTGTAGTGGGTAGTGTGGTGTAGTGTGTAGTGTAGTGGGTAGTGTAGTGGGTAGTGTAGTGTGTAGTGTAGTGGGTAGTGTAGTGGGTAGTGTAGTGTATAGTGTAGTGTAGTGGGTAGTGTAGTGGGTAGTGTGGTGGGTGGTGTAGTGGGTAGTGTAGTGGGTAGTGTAGTGTAGTGGGTAGTGTAGTGTAGTGGGTAGTGTAGTGTAGTGGGTAGTGTAGTGGGTAGTGTAGTGGGTAGTGTAGTGGGTAGTGTGTAGTGTAGTGGGTAGTGTAGTGGGTAGTGTAGTGTAGTGTGTAGTGTAGTGGGTAGTGTAGTGGGTAGTGTAGTGTGTAGTGTAGTGTGTATTGTAGTGTGTATTGTAGTGGT